ACGTTCAACGTTCACTAGACTTCGGTCTAAAGTAGTTGGTTCGACGTTTGTATCCTGGTGCAGTTCCATCTTCTAATCGTCATTCGATAAATAACAGAGTCATTGATCGATCATCTTCGTCTTCATTCTTAGCGATTTACTTCAATTGTTAACATATTTCTTTGTTTCAATTTTAGTCAGTTTATCTCTTTATTCCTTTATTTCGTTCTTTTCGTTTATTAGTTCGGTTATTTACGTCTCTTCCTATTATTATTATTTCATTTTTTGTATTGGAACTTTTGTACTAGTGTACGATAATTTTCCTCATTATCAGAATTATTATCAGAAATTTTACAGGAGATCCCATACATTAAGTTTATACTTTAAATTTTGATACTTCATTTTTTATTTTTATTTTTTTATTATTTCCAATGCACTTGGGATCTCCGACACTAAAGTAGTACATTTTTTACTTTATTTTTTGACTTTTTATCTTAGTATTTTTTAATTTTCTGATATTTTCTTTTATTTTTCGAGATCTCAATACTACAACTTTATTTTTATTTTTTGTTTTTTATGATGTTTGAGATCTCAAATATTTATAAATTTTTCACTTTTATTTTTCTATATTATTCTTTGATTTTTCCTTGATTTTATTTTTTATTTTTCTTTTATTTTTATTTTCATCTTCCATTTATTTTTTCTTTTTAGATATATAAAAGCTAAAAGACCCTAAGCAGGGCAAAATTTTTATCTCTTTTTTTAGGTACAATGAAAGAAGCTCATAATACGAACGATCTCAATATTTTTGATTTGTATGTAATAGTTTATTTTATTTGATATTTTATATTTCATTTATTAATTTCTATATTTTACATTTCTATATTGTATTTATTTTTGTAGTTTTCTTTTGAATGTTTGTTACCTCATCATTTAATTTATTCGTTTGTATTATTTAATATTACTTATTTAGTTTTATTGTAAGTTACCGCCGCCTGACTGTCTCTCTCCAGTTCACTTCGTGGAAGCGTCATCTGTCGGCCTCCTCGGGAGTGTCGCGACAGCGCGCGAAACGCACATGCGCTATAAGGACGACGTTATTCCCTGAAGGAACGTCTTCGGGGGGATAACCGTCGGTCCCCCAAGCGACCTTTCAAGGTAACGGACAGTAGGTCAGGCGACGAAATAATAGTTATAAAAGAGTCTGAAAGGCTTCCCATGTTTATTGGTTTATTATCGTCTGACGTTCAACGTTCACTAGACTTCGGTCTAAAGTAGTTGGTTCGACGTTTGTATCCTGGTGCAGTTCCACCTTCCAATCGTCATTCGATAAATAACTGAGTTATTGATCGATCACCTTTGTCTTCATTCTTAGCGATTTACTTTAATTGTTAACACATTTCTTTGTTTCAATTTTAGTCAGTTTATCCTCTTATTCCTTTATTTCGTTCTTTTCGTTTATTATTTCGGTTATTTACGTTTCTTCCTATTACTATTATTTCATTTTTTATATTGGGACTTCTGTACTGGTGTACGATGATTTTCCTTATTATTAGGATTATCATTTTTACTCGTGTACGACAAGCTTCCAATAAAATGGTCTGTAAAACTAAGCGTTCGCATACCTATAACGAGTTAAGAGCTGCTGTAGTAATTAGTAGTCCTAAAAGTATTTACGATCTACAAACGTTACCTAAAAGGGTTTACAGTTCACAAACGGTACCTAAAGTTACAGTCTTTGGTTGGTGCTGTAGTACTCAAGCGGTTATTGGGTCTACAGTAGAAATAAAAAACATTTTTCGAGCTTTTAAGAGCATAGTAGGAGGAAGGTGTAGACCATCCTTCAATTAGAAACAGTGTTGGTAGTCGCAACATATTTCTTATTTTAGAAAAAATATTACACGGATGTTGCATGTATATTATTACTTGTGCAAATGAAATAATGTTTGAGGTTATTCTTCTTTCATTAAATACAACGTGATATTAGTTTAATTCATTGCAAATTAGAACTGTTTATCCTGTTAATAGTGAGTTTTTACACCGATAATACAAAAGGAACGTGATTAGTATTTTAGATGTTTTTGATTTTGTGAGGACAAGATAGGATAATATAATCTATAGGATTGCTACTCTTATGTTGTTTTGAGCTCCTGTCCAGTGTGTAGTAAAATTTTTGTTGGAAATTCTTTTGCGGTTGTCTTTGCCAATACGTGTGATCTTCTATTTCAGTTTAGATCCTTTTATTTTCTTCACTTACACCAATTCTTTAATGGAATAAGTCGAAAAATATAAATATAACGCAAACAACACTTAGTAGTTAAATAGCCAGAAATAGAACAAAGCAAGAAATAACACAAGAAAGCACTACGCAGACAATGTTGTCCAAAAGTCGCACTAGGACCATAAGAAGTAAAGAGCAACACTAAGCGCTCCAGACAGAAGGCACACACAATACACCTGGTGACTCAGAGGGACCTCCTTCTATAGTGAATCTGTGGAGTCCTCAGGACCCTCAGGGTATGGTCTTTGGTAGTTTAATTGACCTAACACCTGAAGCAAATGGTGTTTGGTCTAATGACACAACAGATCCTAGGAAGCGTAGTTCTTTTGGTTTTATCTTTGGTGTTTGTTGTATCTACTTTTCTTATGGGGTATATGTACAACTTTCATGTCTCGTTTGTTTAATTTTTTTAGTAGGGTTTTTATAGTTTGTTTAGGTTTTTTATATAAAAAAATCTTTTTTTTGTTCGGGTTTTTTTTTTTTTTTTTTTTTTTTTTTTTTTTTTTTTTCAAATTTTTTTTTTTTTTTTTTTTTTTTTTTTTTTTTTTTTTAAGTTTTTTTTTTTTTTTTTTTTTTTTTTTTTTTTTTTTTTTGGTTTTTTTTTTTTTTTTTTTTTTTTTTTTTTTTTTTTTGGTTGGGATACTAAAGTTTTTAGTTTTGGCATTGGTTTGTTTAAGTTTTATAGGGGTTTCTCTTTAAATGTTTCGCTTTGTTGCTTTTTCTTTGATGTTTTTCTTGAGGTTTTCCAGTTACGATATAAGAGTTGATGTTGCTGTACGTAAGATATAGGAAGACTGTAGTTTATGTAGAATTTTTTGTTTACGATAAAAGGGGTAGTAATCCTTTTACACTTAGGTTGAGTTTTAAACCGTTAGCTTTCAAAACTGAAGATTGTAGTTTAAGGTTTTGTTAATTTGTTTGTTGAAATATAATTTTAAAGAGATTAAAATTGAAA